TCGGAGATATGGGACCTCAGGCTTGGAACTGTGGCCGCGTTTGCGCAGTCGCTGGCCGTCTCTCTGGCACAGGTGATCACGGTTTCCTAGTTCTTGGAGCAGAACCTGTCCCACCCCGGCTCCGCTCTGCGCCCCCTTCGGAAGGAAGCCCTACTCCTACTGGAGCTGGAATTCCAGCGTAGATGATGAACTCTCAAGACAAGAGCTGGAGCTGATGATGGCAGGAGGGACGCACTTCCAAGCCGTCCGCACTCCTCCGAAGCCAGTGAGCTTCCTTAGACCTCCTCTGCAGGCCTGGATGGCGGTATCGGCAGTGCGGCGCGACCGGACCCCGGCGCTCCCCAGGCGTTCGGGTTAAGGCCCGCGCGCGGCCCTCACCACTAGGCGCCGCTGCGCGCACACCGATCGGCGCCCCGGGCCGCCGCGCCCGCCTGGAGAGAGGCCTTTGGGGAAGACGCCAGAAAGGGATTTGTCGTAATAATTTTTAAAAAACGGTTTAAAGGCATTAATTATACTTTTCGTTTTCCCACCGCCGCCCTACGCATTCGGAGAGGCCGGTGTGACTGGGATTTCAATGGGTTGGAGGAATTAACGCCTGGGAGGCCTCCCCAACTCGGGACACCATTAGCGCGCCTCGGGCGGGGAAGAGGCTAGCCCTTCATGGGCGTCGGTGCGGTCCGCGCTGCGCGGCGGGAGCACAGTGTGGGCTCAGCGTGCTGGCTCAACGTAAGGACCCGAACCTCGGCGACCAGGGACCAAGACATGGCAGAGTGTAGCGGGTAGACTGGACCGTACAAGGCCAAGGCCTAGCAATAACGAAAATGTGATGAACTCGAACAGTGTGCTAAATTAAACATCAGCTCACTCACTCCTCTCAACAACCATTAACAGACTGCTATTTCCTTTTCACAGATGAGTCAACCGTGGCTCAAGAAAGTGAAAGTCACACTGGTGGCGACCCCAGACTGCGCCCACACACCTATTCTCAGACGCAGGAGGCCATGCACCCACCCAAGTACCTCACAGGCCTGGCACGGAGCACAGCCATGGTGAAGCACTGCGATTTGCTGCTTTGAAGCCCCGGGGGGCCTTGCAGGAAACTCCAAGCAGATGCTTGTCAGAGATCCCCCAGGAGTCTCTGCCCTTTGATACCAATCAAGGAGCCAGGACTCCAGGCCTGGATCACCCCAACATCTCCCTAGAGAAGCCGTCAGCATTTTGGGGAGCACAGAGGAGTGTGGCAGGAGTGTGAGACCAGCATTAGTGGATGTTTGGACAGCTATATTGTTCACAGTCTCTGAAACCCAGTGACAAGCCTTGGAAGTGGGTAGGTAATAATAACAGCAGGATCAAGGACAGGAGTGAAATTTTATTGTAGTTCATAATGTGCCACACAACTTCTATGCACTTTGCTTTGTTTATCTCACTGAACAAATCCAATGCAAAAGTACTATTGTGTATTCCCATTTCAGAGAAGACAGGCACAGAGAGATTAGGTAACTTGCCCAAGGTCACACAGTTAAGAAGGCAGATTCATTAAAGTATAATTACATATAGTGAAACTCACTCTTTGTAATGTACAGTTCTGTGAGTTTTGAAAAACATATAGAGTCATGTAAAGTACACCAAAATCAGGAAGTAGAATAGTTCTATCATCCTCCAAAACAAGCTGACTGCTACCCTCCCCCCACCCCCACTGCCTCCGAGGCAGTATTGGCTTTATTTTTACACATGACAAAATGAGGTTGGGAGAGGTTTTCGTGTTGCCCAAGGTCATTCAGTGACAGATATGGAATTAGAACCTTTGAATGTATGCTAGTCTAGCTGCCTGCAAAGGTAGATTCCTGAGTCTACAGAGCCCAAGAGGCAGCAGTGGCTAGGGGCACACATGGGGCAGGGGAAGGAAGCCCCTTGCTCTAAGCTGGAGCCTCAGAAATCCCCACATCTCCCACTGTACACAGGGCTACTTAACCAAACACTCATTCTTTGGGTGGCTAAGGAACAAAGGTGGCCATATTCTGCAAGGCCCAAATCCACAAGTAAAGTTGAGTGGCAGGGCAGCTGCGCCATCTAGGAGCACAGGGTCCAGTCCAGAACATAGCACCCAGTACCCTGGCACACCTCCACTGGCCAGCCTGGTTAATGAGTTACTATCCTAGTTAATTTCCCTGCACATGGGGGCCAGACCCTGAGAACCTCCCTGGGCTCCTCAGGCCCAGTGCATGAATTAGCATAGATTACCCAGCTTCCAGGATTTCCAAACCTCCAGACTCACTGGAAACCCGCTTCTCCTTCAAGGGGCAGGAATGCAGCTTGGGTCTAGCAGCACCTGGAGCAGAGGGACTAGCATGCCCTGCTCCCTTCAGGAAGGGGGACACTAGACCTCAGACCCTGTTGCCCCTTTACCCCTGCTCACCTGTAGGCTAGCTAAAACCCCTGGGGCAAGCCTGGCCACAGAAGGGCAGTTTGTAAAAGGCTGGTGGCCTACAGAGGATCCTGGCCGAGTGGAATGGGATTGTGGAGCTGGCTACCCCTCTGCTGCAGCCAAATGTCCTGTCTGGGGCAGAAGGCTGAGGGGTCCCATCTCCAGTCCAACACTGTCCTGGTTAAGGGAATAATGACTGCACCTTAGTGCCCAGGGCTGCAAGTTTTAAAAGAGGAAAAGCACCCATCGCCCCTACACATCACCTGGGTCTCACCCTATCTCCAACACACTCCCCTTGCCCTCAAAGTCAATGACTTTTATGCCCCCACCTAAGATCACTAAGCGTGGAGCTTTCAGTGGCTCCAGTTTGCAACCCTCGAGTCTCAGCCTGTGTTTGGAGGGTCTGGCCTGAGGGCACTGCCAGAGTCTGGCCCTCCAGTCCTCCTTCTGAAGCTCTCATGAAATGTGCCCTCTCCTGCTTGCCAGGATTCAGGATCCACAGTCTGCCTAAGCTGGGTGTTTGTTTCCAACTTCAAAAATCCGAGGGCTGACCTCTAGCTTCACCCTGGGCTTACTGGCTGGGCACGGCCAAAAGACCTCCACCCTCTGCCTTGGCTTTAGGCTCTCCTTGGCTTTAGGCTCCACGGTCTAGGAGAGGAGGGGCCTCTAACCTTACAGCCTAATTGAGGGAGAGATTTCTGAACTGTAGACAATATTTTGGGGGACAGTGGTTCAGGCCCAAGGGAGGTGCATCTTTAAATGCACCCCCCGCCCCAAGAGCTGGATCCAAAGCCCAGAATCTTTGGGCCTGGAAAAAAGGGAGGAGGAGAAAGAAGAAAGGAAAAGCCTCCAGGGACTGACGGAGGGACAATACTGGGCCAGGACCCCCTCCCAGAGCTTCAAAGCCTAAGGGAGAGGCAGGTGTCTCCCACTGTGAGGGCAAAGCTGAGGCGCACATCTGTCTCATGTGCGAATGTGTGTATGTGTGTTCCCAGGGAAGGTGTGGGGCGGGGCAGCAAAGATGATCTCTTCCCGATACCCAAGAATCTGTCTGGTGCCTTGACAACTCCAGAAAACACTGCTCCCAACCCCCTCTCTTGCCTGATTTCCCAAAAGAGGTTTTTGGAGACTTTCCCCAACACAACATTATATCTGAAATAAAAGAGTAGTTGACACAAATGTAAATACAGAGCAGATGAAATCAAGGGAGGAAGCAGGTAGCTTGTCCTAAGACCTGACCCCTCAACTATGCATCTGGTGGCGGTGCAGCCTCGCTCACGGTGGACTTCACTCTTTTTCCCCTTCCCATCGACTTCTCTCGCAGGTCTCATGGCAACCTAGTCACCAAACACAGGCATTTCTGCGTTCTTAGGAGAAATGACAGGGGCCTGGGAGTAACGGATTTAAAGGACGCTAGGTGTTTTTTTTTTGTTGTTGTTGTTGTTGTTGTTTGTTTTTTTTGGTTTTTTTTTTTTATCATTAATTGCAAACGTGCAAAATACCTGCTAGTACTTCACTTTAGAAGAATGTAATTGGAAAAAAAAAAAAGAAAGAAAGAAAGAAAAAGAGGTGGCTGATGAATAGATAATAGATCTTTAACCACCAATAAACAGAGAGCAGCGCCAGCAGCCTGGGGATGTGATCATAATTATGCCGCCGCGCGAGCCAATGGGGACGAGGGAACTCGGCCCTAAAATCATCCCAAAACCAAAGGCGAGCTCGAAAATGCGGACACGGCCTGGGACCGGAGATGCTATCCGCAGTCCCTAGTTGCACTAGGTTTGCACAGCCACCCGACTGTGGGACAACAGATGGCAGAATAATAATAGAAATAATAAAAATAATAGCATCCATAATAATAACATTGGCCACACTAACAAAGATAGCTATGACGGAACCATAATAGTACAGTAGCACCACATCGGGCTTTCCCCTACCCTTGGACTACGGGTCCCAGATATTCCAGAAGGAATTGTTTCGGGGAAGGAGGTGAGCACCCTTCCAGACAGAAAACGCTAGAGACCGTGGGGCGAGAGCGGGAGCGAATTGGAAACCCACTGCTCTGGCAGGGTAGGCAGCTCCTACTCCCAAACGAACGAGCCGGGTCAAGAGTCGCGAAGGCACCAACCCTGGGACCTCGATGCTAAGCGTGGTTGGTGGGGTGGGAGGATCCCGTACCGCAGGCGCCCTCCCGGCCTAGGACACCGCTGGGAGTTTTGTTAAGCGTGAGGATTGGTAAAACCGTAAGGCGCCTTTAGCTCTCACTAGGAACCAGCCCCCGCCCGCTTACCCTCGCGGTGCTCCCGGAGCGATCCCTGTTCCCCCGACGTGGGGCGGCGCGGGGCAGCAGCGGCGGAGCGCTAGACGTGAGGAATCTGTCTGTCCGTCTGTCCTACCAGCTTGGGCGCAGCAGGCTCGGGATTCAGGGGGCCGCAGCAGAGGCGGCGCCGGCCAGGGACTCTGCAGGGACCGGGGTGCCCCGGAGGGAGTGGTGCTGGTGGAGGAGGAGGCGGTGGCTGAGGGGGAGGAGGTGGGGAAAGAGGAGGAGGAAGAAGAGGAGGAGGAGAAGAAGAAACCGGAGGAAGAGGAGGAGGCGAAGAACGAGGAGGAGGAGAAGTCGCAGCGGGCGCCGCAGGAGCGAGTGAGCTGGGAGCGCGGGGCGAAGGCGCGGAGAGGCCAGGCGGCCCGGCGGGCGGCAGGAGGCTAGACCGAGACTGCGGCGCCGACTCCGTTCCACTCTCGGCCCGGATCCAGGCCTCCGGGTTCCCAGGCGCTCGCCTCCCTCTGACGCACTTTAAAGAGTCTCCCCCCTTCCACCTCAGGGCGAGTAATAGCGACCAATCATCAAGCCATTTACCAGGCTTCGGAGGAAGCTGTTTATGTGATCCCCGCACTAATTAGGCTCATGAACTAACAAATCGTTTGCACAACTTGTGAAGAAGCGAACACTTCCATGGATTGTCCTTGGACTTAGGGCGCCCTGCCCGCCTTTTGCGGAGGAGAAAAAACTTTTTTTTTTTTTTGCCTCCCCCGAGAACTTTCCCCCCTTCTCCTCCTTGCCTCTAACTCCGATCCCCCCACGCTATCTCGCCAAAAAAAAAAAAAAAAAAAAAAAAAAGAAAGAAAAAAAAAAAAGAAAAAAAAAAAGAAAAAAAATTACCCCAATCCACGCCTGCAAATTCTTCTGGAAGGATTTTCCCCCTCTCTCCAGCTTGGGCGCGTTTGGTGCAAGATTCTCGGGATCCTCGGCTTCGCCTCTCCCTCTCCCTCCCCCCTCCTTTCCTTTTTCCTTTCCTTTCCTTTCCTTTCTTTCTTCCTTTCCTCCCCCCATCCCCACCCCCACCCCCACCCCAAACAAACGAGTCCCCAATTCTCGTCCGTCCTCGCCGCGGGCAGCGGGCGGCGGAGGCAGCGTGCGGCGGTCGCCGGGAGCTGGGAGCCCAGGGCGCCCGCTCCTCGGCGCAGCATGTTCCAACCGGCGCCCAAGCGCTGCTTCACCATCGAGTCGCTGGTGGCCAAGGACAGTCCCCTGCCCGCCTCGCGCTCCGAGGACCCCATCCGTCCCGCGGCACTCAGCTACGCGAACTCCAGCCCCATAAATCCGTTCCTCAACGGCTTCCACTCGGCCGCAGCCGCCGCCGCCGGTAGGGGCGTCTACTCCAACCCGGACTTGGTGTTCGCCGAGGCGGTCTCGCACCCGCCCAACCCCGCCGTGCCAGTGCACCCCGTGCCGCCGCCGCACGCCCTGGCCGCCCACCCCCTACCCTCCTCGCACTCGCCACACCCCCTCTTCGCCTCGCAGCAGCGGGACCCGTCCACCTTCTACCCCTGGCTCATCCACCGCTATCGATATCTGGGTCATCGCTTCCAAGGTACGTGCCACGTCGCGGGACTGCAGCGCGCCGCTCCCGCCGCACCCTTCTCTGCCCCCGGCCTGCCTCGGGTGGGCGCTTGGCAAGGCCTGGGCGGAGGTTCCTCCGGAGCCGGGTTGGGAAACTAGGCGGCGCGGGGCCGGGCGTGGTGTCGATCCCCAGTCTCCGAATCTATAACCGGTTTGGAGTGATGGCCTACGGGCCGCTTGACTCTTTGGGAAGGGGTGCGACGGAGTTGTACCCCAGTGCGCTGGGATCCGAGCAGGCTGGGCTGAGCGTGCCCCGTGCCTCTGAGCACAAAGCCCGCCGGGGCCCCAGGCTCCTGGTACCCTCGGAAATGCTCCCAACCGTCCTGGCTCCCAGGGGTGCGGACAGGGCCAGGCCGATAGGCTTGCTTTCGACTGCGTTCGACCCTGTTCACCACCCACTTTGCGCCCCTTCAGCCCAGACCCGCGACTTCTTGGTCTTTCACCCTCTTCTGGAGGCGAAAGGACCTTCGCGCCCCCGAAAAAAAGTATGAGATTGTTTTTTTTCTTTCCTGCTTTTCGGAGGCCTGGGGAGGGGCGGGAACCTGTGCGGGTGGAAAGCTCCAGGGCTCGGCGATCTCGCCGCGACCTGCTTAATTGAGGCATCGAGCAGTCGCAGCGGGAAGGCAGGTTCGGTCTGGTTTTTGTTTTTCTTTCTTTCTTAAAAAAAAAAAAAAAAAAAAAAAAAGAACTCGGTCAGGAAACTGTCTGAGGGAAAGATCTGTTCGGATGTTTTCATTTCCTGCGATATTTTTTATTTGTTTTTCTCTGGGTACGGGGTGGGAGGAGGAGAGTTAAAACTTCAGAAAAGGGGATGAGTAATTAGTTTACTGATTGGAGTCGGCAAAAGACCTACCTCCAGCGGCAGCGGATCAATACTCCACGGCTTGTCCATTCATTAACCCATTGCGTTCCTGCCAGAGCCTAGAGTCGGGTAGACGTCATCTCCCTCCCCATATTTTAAAAACCAAACCAAAGAAAGAAAAAACAAAACCCCCAAAAACCTTTCACCTTTAATCCCGAACTAGATTTGCCTGCATCCCGCCTGTACTGTCGGCTTGTTTTTCTTTGTTTGGGTTTTTGGAGAATCGATTTCCTATCCTAAAGAGTAAACCCAAAACTCTGAGGCTTTGCTCGAAAAGTTTAGGGCTACCCTTCCTCATTTTCTGTCAGTCATGCCTAGGGTCCCCCCACCAGACCCAGAGCCACTGGGATCTTCCTGCGTTTCAGACTGTCACCGCGGTGCCTGCAACTCGGTAACCCCCCTGGGTTTCGATCCCTTCGCTCGCGTTTCTTTTCCAGTTCTCCGGAGCCGGGAGCCCGGGAGCCGCGTTCTCGAGAGGCAACAGGGGCTGTGGCCCGGCACACCAGCCGGCGAGATTTCTGCCCCGATCTGGCCGCAATGACTTGCCCGGCCTCTGTACTTTTCCGGAGGGGCAACAAAACAAATAATTTAAAAATAAATCTCTGAGAAAACTGTGGAGAGCAGCCCGCCGCCTTTCCACCCTGGGTCAAAGTTCCCCGAGAGGTTAGAAAGCAGAGAAAGTCGTTTCTTCGGGCTGTGGGCGCCAATCGCCCGGCCAGGCTCTGCGGCTCCCTCCCCTGCCCCCAGCGCCCGGCAAGGAGGTGGCGAGTCCCGCGGCGCCAGGGCGGCTGGGGAGGCCGCCGAGGTCAGGAGCCTGGGGACTGGCCCCGCCGGGGCAGCTGTTGGTTGGGTGCCGCACAGGTGGAGCCCCGGCGTTCCGGGCCGGACAGCTGGGCCGACGTCCACTTCGTGCGCCCTCGGGAGGACCATTGGCCCCCGCAGGTCGAGCGGCGCGGGCTCTGAGAAGGCCCGGAGCGCGGTGCTGCGCCAGTCCGGCTCGGGAGAAGTGCGTGGCTGCGGTAGGAGCGGCCCGGCTAATGGGACTTCTGCTATGCCTCCGCAGGGAACGACACTAGCCCAGAGAGTTTCCTTTTGCACAACGCGCTGGCCCGAAAGCCCAAGCGGATCCGAACCGCCTTCTCCCCGTCCCAGCTTCTAAGGCTGGAACACGCCTTTGAGAAGAATCACTACGTAGTAGGCGCCGAAAGGAAGCAGCTGGCACACAGTCTCAGCCTCACCGAAACTCAGGTGAGTGAGCCCCGGGGTCGAGGAACCCATGTAGGCGTGCGCACCCACCCCAAATCTGGCTCCCAAGCCCGTCAAGAGCACGGAGCTCTGTGAGGGCCTTCTGCACAGGTCCTGGTAGCTGGTTCCACGCCTGGGCTCGGGATTTATGTCTCAGGGTGCTTGGCTTTGTTGGGCTTCAGAAAGGGGCTGTAAGTGCCAACCTGCCCTCGGTTCTGGGGGAAAGGCGCCGAGTTGTTTTTCTGTCCAGTGGGCATGTCCTGGCTAAGACATCCCCGCACTTCTATTGAGACTTTTGGCGAGAGTGTGAGGATCCTGCTGGGGTCCAGGAAGCTGGAGAGCACAGTGGGGTTTCTGGGTGTTTGGGGCTGGAGGCTGGTAAGGACCAGATATGGGTTAAAGACGAGTTCTGAGCGACTGCTAGCCCATGGCTCACACGGTCGGCTCGAGTGACTTCCCTGAAGATGGGAGATCAGAATATGGAGGCCAAGCGTCCGGTGTGTACCCTACACCAGAGAAATAAAGCTGGGAGGCTGCAGAGAGGGTCTGCCTCAGGGCACAGGCCTTCTACACAGCAGGGTCCCTGGGCGGGCCTGGCTTGGGTTTAGCCCAGGGTGGGGAGGGGGCTTAGGGCTACAGTAGGCGCTACTGTACACGGAGCCGCAGGGCGGGGTCAAAGTTCCCAGTAAACAGTAACGTTTTCGGGCAGATTAAGTTGTAACACTTTTCTGGGCAGCGCAGAAAGGTCGAGGCTTTTGTTTTACAACGCGTTCCCCACCCTAAAACCGAGGAGGGCCTGGCGGGTTTGTGCGGAGCCCGGCCCCAGGCGCGGCCCGGCTGATTTCTCCTGGACAGCCGAGGCGGCGGTGGTCTTTGTCCGCCTCGCTGCCCACGCTGCCTGGAGTCTTTGTGTGCGTGTCAAGCCCCGAGCGCACCGACGCGCGCCTTGGGCCAGCGCCGGGGAGAAATGAACCGTCCTCCCCCTCAATTAGCAAATTCAAAGCAAATTAAATTCAGCCTTGTTCCCGCTCAGCTTTTTCGTGCAGCACTTTGGGGGACTGGGACATTTCGGGAGAGCAAGGCGGGACGGCCAACGGCCTCAAGGGAGGGAATGGAGTGAACCCCAGGGGTCCAGGGACTGACACTGGGCTGGGGTACTGTTACCCAGATAGGACAGGCGTTGTGGGGGGTGGGTATCAGAAGTGCAGTCACGCCGCCTCCCTTACCTATACCCCACTGCTGGGAAGCTTGGACTGTGTTACTGTCTGGCGGCTGAGTGAGGACCCACCACTCAGCTTTCCCAGGGGGCCATGGGATAGCAGCCGACTCTCACCTTATTGCTCCTGAGACCTCTGGCAGCCACTCTGGTGAGGCCAGGCCTCCAGCCCCACCCTGGTGGGAAGTGATGGGACTAGGGTCTGAGGTTGTGTGACCAGCAGCCTGTTCCGGGGCTTCTGAGGAGGAGGGAAGGGGGGCTTGCTGTCACCTCCCCTCCTGTTAGGTTCTCTCTTACTTTCTGTGTAACCCACGGTCTTTCAGAAGCTTTCAGTTTTGAACCCATTTTCCTAGCTATAAAGGTACAGGGGGGTTGGTCTGCAGGCCTGCACATTCCACCGTCTCTCCTTGCCTCCCTCAGCCCTATTCTCTTCCTGCTCACCTTTGAGAGTCCCCTGCACAGAGGACGCAGCGCAGGCAAACCCTGATGGCCTACCCAGGGCCGCGCCACGAAGAGAAGACGCTATATTTAGGAAACGCCGCCCAGATCAGCAGAAAATAGAAAGCACATTGGGTTCTCAGGGAAGCTGTAGCAGCCGCGGGCCAAGGTCTCTCTTGCACTCACTTGCTGGAGGGAGTTAGGGAAACGTCTCTTTTTATTTTTAATCATTTATTATTTTTGTAGGGGCTCCCCATGCTTTGCAAGGCTTGGCTCTCAGCGGGATCTAGGTGCCCTGTGCAGGGCTAGGAGAGAAGGGGCTCAGTGCGCCCTGGGCCTTGGGGAAAGGTTCCTCAGGAAGGCTCAGAAGGGCAGGGAGCCAGGCTTCTTCTCCACCGCGCACTAGGGGCCGGCTCCCTGAGAGCAGGCCTTGGGGAGGCTGGACCTTAGGACAAGCTTCTGAGGGGCTGGGTCTTTGCTGAGTCTGGGACTGGAGTCTGGGCTACATGAAGGAATCAGGCAGTTGGCTTCTAGAAGGATCCTGTGAAAGAACTAACTCGCCCCATCTGCCTCTCACCCTCAGGTAAAAGTATGGTTTCAGAACCGAAGAACGAAGTTCAAAAGGCAGAAGCTGGAGGAAGAAGGCTCAGATTCGCAACAAAAGAAAAAAGGGACGCACCATATTAACCGGTGGAGAATCGCCACCAAGCAGGCAAGTCCGGAGGAAATAGACGTGACCTCAGATGATTAAAAACACAAATCTAACCCCACAGAAACGGACAACATGGAGCAAAACAGAGACGGGGAGAGGTGGAAAAGGAAAAAATACCTACAAAACAAAAACCGCATACACGTTCACCGAAAAAGGGAGAGGGAATCGGAGGGAGCAGCGGCATGCCGCGAAGACTTTGGACAGCGAGGGCACAGGGTCCCAACCTGAGGCCGCGCCAAGAGGGCAGAGGATGGAGGCTCCTTCATCAACAAGGGACCCTCGCTAAAGAGGCAGCTGAGTGAGTGAGTGAGACAGAGAGAAGGAGAAAGAGGGAGGGAGAGAGAGAAAGAGAGAGAGAGCTGAACGTGCACTCTGACAAGGGGAGCTGTCAGTCAAACACCAAACTGGGGAGACGAAATGATTGGCAGGTATTCCGTTTATCACAGTCCACTTAAAAAATGATAATGATGATGATAAAAAACACAACCCAACCAGGCACCGGACGTGTTTTTTTTTTTTTTTTCTTTCACTTCGCAGTGTTTCCCCCCCACGATCTTTAAAAACAATTAGTAACAACAAACGAAAATTCCATATCTAGCCCCATCCCACACCTGTTTCAAAACCTTGAATTGCATGTAGCAGTTGATGGGTGAATGGTGTTTAAAGACCGAAAATGAATTGTAATTTTCTTTTCCTTTTAAAGACAAGTTCTGTGTGCTTTTTATTTTGATTATTTTTTCCAAGAAATGTGCAGTCTGTAAACACTTTTTGATACCTTCTGATGTCAAAGTGATTGTGCAAGCTAAATGAAGTAGGCTCGGCGATAGTGGTCCTCTTACAGAGAAACGGGGAACAGGACGACGGGGGGGCTGGGGGTGGTGGGGGAGGGTGCCCACAAAAGAGTCAGGACTTGTTCTGGAAAAAACCCCTAAATTAATTATATTTCTTGGACATTCCCTTTCCTAACATCCTGAGGCTTAAAACCCTGAGATAAACTTCTCCTTTTAGTGGTTGGAGAAATTGGCCGAGTTCAACCATTCACTGCAGTGGCTATTACAAACTTTAAATCTATCTATTGCAAAAACCGAAGGACTGTAGTTAGCGGGGATGATGTTAAGTGTGGCCAAGCACACGGCAGCAAGTTTTCAAGCACTGAGTTTCTATTCCAAGATCATAGACTTACTAAAGAGAGTGACAAATGCTTCCTTAATGTCTTCTATACCAGAATGTAAATATTTTTGTGTTTTGTGTTAATTTGTTAGAATTCTAACACACTATATACTTCCAAGAAGTATGTCAATGTCAATATTTTGTCAATAAAGATTTATCAATATGCCCTCAGAGTAGTTGTCTTGGGAAATTGAAGTGGATCTTTAAAAATGTATCACAGTAATTTGAGTGTGGTCCTTCCCCAAATAGCCTCAAGAAACCCAGGCTCCTCACCCACGAAAGGGCCAAATTGATGGATTCTCAAGCGTTTTAAAGAAAGATCAGGGTGGAGAAGGGAGAAGATTAGGAAAACTTAAGTCCTTCAGAAAAGGGATGGGAGAAAAGTTTTCCAAACAGAACTTTGCCCGTTGTATGCCCTACTGAGGGAGTTTAGTTTGAACTTCAGGTTAAAATGCTTACTTATCTTAACCTCTGGTTATTAAAAAACAAAACACTGGACATATAGTTCCACATGGAAGACTATTCTCCCAGAATATTGGGGAAAACAGGTAGCAGAATCAGAATCTTGCAACTTCTCAACTTTCTGACTTTAAACCCCAAAGTACAAGGCTTGCTTTTCCTTCTTTTCCTTCTCACCCTGGCCCCAACCTGCCGAAGGTGATGGGACGAGCCTCAGGACCTCAGCAGCCTTATAAGGCAAGTGTTCTGAGAAACCTTCGACTCTTAATTTTAACATTAAAGAAAAAGTTGTAATCAGACTTGGAGGAAACTTAGCTTTTTTCCCTCCCTCCATCCCCCTTCTGGGGGTACGAGGTTGTTTTTGCATGCTTCATTTGCTTCTTATCCTGATAGGCTGCATTAATCAGTTTTATTTCCATTGATAGAGAAACCTCGTCTGTTCTGTTCGAGCTACAAAGCGTCCTGCGAGCTTTTGTGAAAGTGCAAATCAGTTTAAGCAATTATCATACCAGGAATATGAAGGGGAAAGAGGAGGCCTTGCCCAGTGGTCTCCTTTAATCTCTTAATCCACAGATCCAGGGGGGCTGCCTGGACATAATTTAGGACAATCTCCCCACCCTTTACACTGTGATAAGGCCAAGTTACAATGCAGGGCAAAAATACAAGCTTTGTTAACATCCTGCCTTGAAAAGTTAAGATTAGACATTCTGTGCACGTGTGGGGACTATAGGGCACTATGGAAATTTTTTCTTTCTTTTTTTCCTCCTCTTCTCTAAAGTAGAATTCATGCTCCATCTCTTTCTCCCCAACTCTGCCTGTCTCCTCCCTCCCCTCTTTCCCCCCATCTCTGTCCCTCTGTAGAAACCTGGCTGGTCATAGTGCATTTTCACACAGACCCCTCTTGGAAGGTGTGTGTACTGTGTGGGGGATGCTTCGCTGCCAGGAGTTGCTGGGGGAGGAGGGAGACGGGGTGGCCTCGAGAGTCCTGGGCTTGCGTCTCACAGGGACAGGTGCACCTGGGGGTGTCCTGGAAACTCTTGTGGGCCTTCCAGGTGCTTTGACAGTCGACCTCCGGTGACCATGAGCGGTCTCAAGTGCTTTGCAGTCTGTACTCCCGCAAGGCATCCTTTTCTCTTCAAGTACGAATTACCTTTTCCACTCACCTTCCGAAACCCCCCGTAATACCTCAAACACCAAGCTCAGTCCCCTTAAAATTCAGAATGGTCTGTCCAGAAAAAAAATTTTCGTCTTAATAAAAGGTTTATTTCTGCCGAAATTGTATAATTGATGTTTTTTCTTAAGCACAAGAAAAGGGGGCTGGTGGTGAAGATTTATTTTATTTTATTTTTGGTAAACGTCCTATACAGTGTAACAGCAATAAAATCATCAGAGAATACTATTAGCTTTGAAAAAAAAAAAAAAAACAACTAAAAGCTTTATTACAAACCAAGCTTTGAAAATAGGGGGGATTAGGCGGCTGAAAGGGTCCCACAATGGTAAGAAGAAAAGGTTTCATGCTAATGAGGTTAATGCCCTTTGTATCTCAGGCCTCCACATCTTCATTACGCGCTATCTCCGGCTGCACGGAGCGGCTCAGAGAGCCGCAATCCACTCCAACGCCCCCCTTCCCGGCCCAAAGAAGGATTTGATAGCAGCTCTGTTCAAACTAGATAATTATATCTTTTCAAGTCGGAATTAAGATAAAGAAAGTGAAGCAGAGGCGGCTCGCCTTGATCCACTGCAAACAAATTTGGCGCACTTTCGAGTCCTTCCTCCGCCTCAAAAAGGCAGGACAGTCAGCTTATTAGCCGCTCGTTTGCTTTATTAATTCATCTATTTAAAGTGGCAGGATTAGAGCGTCTAATGTGGACGCGGGCTGCCGTGGCGCTGAGGAATATAAATATTTGCGAGATGCCATCCCACGATGACTATCTGGGCGTGGGGCGCGGGGCAGGGTGCGCGTGTGCCCTGCCTCTGCATTCCCTTCGCGCTGTGCGCGTGCTGGGCTGCGCAGGGGGGTGTGGGAGCGATGTGCCCCAGGTCTATGTGCCCCTTCGTGCTACATGGGTACCAGGCCTGGATGCTCCGGGGCAGGGCTCAATGGGCATCGTAGGCCAGGTTCTGAGCTCCTCCTGCGACACGGCGAACTGCAATGCACGTTGCCATAGGGCCCTGCCTGTGACCCCGAATGGGAGTGTAGAATACAACTTTGACCCATGTTCCGTTTCCTTGTTAATAACTTGTAGACCTTCCCTGTGAGATCCCTGGCCAAGTGGATTCTCGGGAGAAGTACGGGTTCTCCGTTTGCGTTGCCCTCAGAGGGTCAAACGGAATCTACCGCGCTCGTGTGCAGTTGCTGCGTCCTCCTGTGAGGAACACATGGGTTCCGTGTGCATTTCTCGCGGAGGCGCCAGAAAGTCCTAAGGAGAAGCCTTCGACCTCCGAACTTCCTGGCTCTAGTTCTGGGTGTCCAGTGCTCCCAGCTCCCTCTGGCTCTGCTCCTGGCAGGCAAGCCGAGCAGAAGTAGGCGCGTTGGCTGCGGCCCGGAACCTGCAGGGCCACTTTTGTGCGAGGGGCGGATTGTGGCAGCCTGAGAGCCGCGCCAGGCGGGCCAGGCAGAAAGGGGGCTCAGGCCTGCGCGCGGCTTTGCAAATCTCGGCTCCTCCCCGTCCCCGCCTCGAGTCGCAGGCAACAAAGTCTGGGATGTGCAGGCCGGTTGGGGAGGGGCTCTGGAGACTCGGAGGCCTGGCGCAGGGCCCCGCTCCGTGGTGGGGGTTTGAGGGCTGGGCGGCCAACAGGTGGGCCGTTGCAAGTCGCTATATGGCTGGCAGGGTGAGTGAGGGTCTGTTCTTGTGTGTTTGTATAGGGTGAATAAACTAGTTTGTAGTATAATGGTGTTTGTGTGGATTGTGGAATAGAATTGTGAGTCACAGCTAGGACTTTAGTCAATTTGTGTCAGTGCTAATTGTTTGAGTAAGTTAAAGGCTGCAGAGGCCGGGGCTACTTATGCAGATTGGGTCAAGATGTCTAGCTGTCCTTGTGCGTCTAGATTGTTTTGAGGTAGGGCCAGCACGTGCAGTTGTGAGGCTGTAGAGTGCCTCCGACGGTGTGGAAATGCAATTTATGGAATTTGTGTGCCACGGTCTGGTTGCACAGTGTGTCTGTGAATCGTCTGGAGTTGTGCATCTCAGAGGATGGGGGTGGCCTCGGTGTGTGTGGCTTGCGGGGGCGTTTCTCCGGGTTTGGGTAGGGGGTCCCTTGATGGATGTCCATGCCCAGCCCTAGGGTAGCATCTGTGTGTCTTGGGATCGAGATGTGTGTGTCTAGTGAGGAGGCTTGGGCTGGGGTGCCGCTCCCGCAGCGCCCCACTAGCTCCGGAGTTTGGCAAACAACAGCCGTTTTGTGTAACCGCGCATTTTTCTAGACCAATCTTTATTATTCCAGCAATCAGCGCTTGAATTACTGGGGCGCCGCCTCAGAGCAGTCGCGGGCGGGGCGGCAGAGGATGCCGGCCTCCAGCGTCGGAGGACCGCGACCGAAAGCCGATCGGCTTGGCGGGGCCGCTCGCGCCTCTTCCGCAGCTTCTGGCCCGCGCCCTCGGCTCGGCCGCCGTTTTTTCTTTCCCCAGCCAGCCCCGTAGCCAGGGGAAAGTGGGAGTTTTGAGAACCCTCTGACCCCAGCCGTGACCCGTCTCCTGGAGGCGGCTTCTCCCGCGTGACCCGGTGCGCCAGGAAACTCTAGGCGGCGCCACGCCTGAAAGCGCAAGGTCCATTCATCAGCCGCGCCCCAGCGTCTAATTGGCCTTTTGTTTATTAGCGTCTGTTGCCCAGCAGGGGGTCTCGGGAGGGCCCGGGAGCTGCGGGTCGGGGTGCAGGAAGCGGGCAGAGGATCCGCGCCCAGGGCTGGGGTCCGCTTAGGGCAGAGGCGCGTCGCACTCCTGGGAGGGGGCGCCAGAGTGCGCCAAAGATCACGCCCACGTGCGGGGATGCGCGCCTGGAGGCTGGACTCCGAGTGTTGGGGCCTGGTCCTGCCGGCTGTCAGGGTCCCAGGCTTCGCTACTGCCCCCACCTCCACATGCAGATCGAGCCCGCACCTCGCCTCCACACTCTCAGGATTTCAGACCCGCCTTCCTGCCTCTCCTAGGTTTCCAGCCCAGGCGCTGGCCTTCGGGCTGGGTTCCGCTCGCGTCCCGTCCCGCGGTTCTTCGTTCTTCCAGCTTCGAGTTCATTCGTCGTGGCTCCGCCGCTTACCCCAGGGAGTAAGCTCCCCGTTTGCTCGGGATCTCCCTCCCTAAACACCAACCCGGCATTGTGGAGCCAGCATCCTGCTTCTCTGGGTGGTGTGACTGAGAGAATGTTTTTGGCAATGCAGGGAGCGAGGGGTTGCCTGACCCTTCAAGGGATCAGACGCAGCACTCAAAATTCCACCTTCCTCATCAAGTCAAACCTCGCTTTCCGATCCCTATCTCTCACCCAGCGTTCAATCTCTACATTGAGCCTTGCCATCCTCCTCCTTACCCCACACTTACTGCCCCTCTTCACACTCCCAAGAGAGCACAGAAGGAAGGTCTCCATTCCCAGCACAGGCATAAAGGCCAAGATACACCTTGTGCAAGGCTAAGATGTCCCGGAGGTGCTTGGGATGGGCATGGGGTCTCATTTGGAAAATGACTTGAGGAGGATCAGTCTCGCCTGGTAGTGGCCTGGCTGCCTGC